AACGCTCATTACGCCCTGAGGAAGGACCGGGTGACGCCGCGTCCGTGGCAAAGGTGCTGACGTTTCGGCCACCATTCTGCGACCTTCCTCAGGGCGTAATGAGCGTTAAGGGCGCAGAATGGCGACTGAAACGTCGGCAGCTTTGTCATGGACGCGGCGTCACCCGGACAGCCAATTAAATAATGTCTCCGGCCCCGGAAATCTACGCTCTCACAACGCCGCATTATATCTTTAAAGTATTGTAATGTCTTCAAAAACTGTCGATTTGGTCTAATTAAATTAATTGGAGTTAAACCCCTAAGCACTTTATGTTGTTAATGTTCACTGTATTAATTTTTGTGACAATTTGCACTACATTAGTTTGATTAGGGAATTTCATTTACTCTACAAAAATAGAAAAGGAGATAGGCAGTTCATGCAAGCATGCTTGCAAGAATGTTTTTTTTATTTTTATCACTTGTAAATTCATGTGACATATTGATATACTTAGAGACTATTGAATTAATCAAATTTCCTTTAAAAAATATCAAATCATTGATCTGTTAACGACGAATATTCTGGTAGATTAGTTCAAAAGAGTCTTACTGACCTGGTGCTTTGAACCTCCGGAAACTGTGGTTGATGAGCGGAAACAAGAGTAGAATAGGGCAGACGGGATCCTTCTCGTCTTCGAAGAGATAGAACTCGCGAGGAGTCTCCTGCAGATAGCGCTTCACCTGGAAATGCGAGACCCGATCAACACTTTATCTCCTCTACATAACAGTTCATAAAGACGACTCTACTAATTGTAATAAATTGTCAGCATAAAACGATGTACGTGTGCTATCGCCGAATAGTGAATGACTCTCTCCCCCTCTGTCTATGAAACAGATTTATGACGAAAAAATTAGACGTTCGCAGATTATGATAGAAGACTCACACGATTCCCACAACACATCTCACGCTCCAACATACGTCACCATTGTACATAACTCAAAGAATGCGTTTAGATCTTAAAAATCAGACTTTCGAGTCCGTCATGGCACACGAGTTATGTTTCTAATGAGGTAATCTACGATTTCTTGTACGCTCTATTGCTTTTTTAGGCTACACCAAACACCACTTACTGGCACGTGTGACAGATATAGTAGAAGTTACGATTGAGTGTAAGGGTATTTTCGCGTTTAAACAAATTTTTATTATTAGTATTTGCAAGGATTCACATTGCGTTCATCATAACTTATTGCGAGAGACAGCCCTCTCCGCAGAGGAATCGCAATAATAGAAACAATTTTTCTCGTACGGTCACACAAAATATAATACATTGCGTTCCAATACAAAGATTTTCATTAAGAAAAATTCAAAAAAGTGTACATTAGAGTCTGTGTTGATAAAGAATCTTACATAAAAGAGCGAAACTCACACAAATAACGTTTCTCTTTTCACTTTTTATTATGTTTATTGATGTAGTATTCAGTAAATAAATTAGAACCATTGTAACTCTTTAATAATATATCTATACTTTTTCCAAGTTAATATAATACAGGTGTTTGGAAGAAAGTTGCAAAATGTCAATGATTGTCGGGTATGAAGGGCAGTAACAAATTTATTTATTTATTAAAGAGTAATAATATTCCTGATGTACGAGTGTTCGTGCTACCGCACTGTGTGGTACGACGAGAATTGAAGAGTTGCTGACACACAAAACTTGAACTAAAGAAAAAATATTGACTATAACTCCAACTTCAAACGTAAAAGAAAAATAATTTTATGGGTCTCAGGGCTACTGAGGTAAGGCTCTAACGACTGACATAAAGTGTAGCCGACATAAGAAATCACTTGGTCACGGAAGAAGGCATTTTATAGCTGCAAAGAAACCAATAATAAAACTTATAACTACTGACTGTTGTTTTGACTACTTACTCTTGCGACTGTACCGTATTTATTATGTAATTATATTGCTAAACATATTAATTGAAAATTTAACAGTAAATTCACATTGAATGCTTGCGAATATATTTTCTATTGGTGACCAATATGATAACAAAATCAGTATCACAAAAGAAGTAGTGCATAAGAAACATACTAGGTACTTTATAAGCTCAGTATTGTTAATGTCTCGTTAAGGATTAGAAATTAGCATCGATTAGCATTATCAATTCATTAACTACTTCCTAACAGGTAATGACACAAGAATAAGAATAAAAATACGATGATTAGGATGATGGTACTGCGGACAGAGAAGGAGGAGGAGGAAGAAGGGGCAGAGGAAGGAGAGAACGAAGAAAGAGAAAAAGTTCATTCTCAAATGCTTCATTTCTTTAAATTTTCAATGTTCGAAATTCCAAAAAGCAGTGGTGCAAATTTTGGTTGCAAATCATAAAGAAAAATAATTGAACATTATCTCATAAATTTGTGAAGAAATTTCGGGAGTTCCACCTCTTTCCTAGAAGAAGGGTTACAAATATCTTCACTATTAATAAACTTGTATGAATTCGCAATTTTTTACGACAGCAAGTCAATAACCGGTACATTGTCTCCAATACAGTCCCATTTTGTTTCTTCAGTGAACATAGAGCAAATGTATGGTCGGAGATGGCGGGGTGAGTAGGTGTTCTACGGGTTAATGGTGAATCGACAGTGAGTGAGTGGGAGATATGTGCGAGAACGCTTTGGGCGATGGCCGGTTATATATTATGTGTGGGTGTGAGTGGTGAGCAGAATAGTGTGATGATCAGGAGTAAAGAGGCAGTTTCTGCTGTGGAGTGGGTGCTGTGCGTAAGGGGTAGGTGAATGGTTGGTAAGTAGTAGGCAGGTAGGATGGGTGGTGCTGTTAGTTTGTGCAGTGGGCGTTCATGCGTTGAGTGAGTGTGCAATGGCCAGGTGTGTGGATGTGTGTATAAAAAGCGGATGCGTGCATGACAGGCTTCAGCTGCCAGAGTCATGATCTGGGCTGTCCGGATGATGCCGCGTCGAAAGCTGAAGTGTCGACATTTCAACCATCATTTTGTTTTCTTCTTCAGCCACACAAAAGCCCTGAAAAAGACCACGATATGATGGTCGAAACATCGGCACATCTTCCTTCGACGCAGTGTCACAGATCTGGTGCGTGGATGTGCAGTTCATGGGCATTCCTTGGACGGGTCTACGGTGCGCGGTGGGCAGGTGTATCGGTGAGCATGTTCAGTAATGGTTGTCCTACGGTGGAGGGGTAGTTGGTGGGCATAGAGTGTGTGTGATCAACAGGTGTGTGTGCAATGGAAGGGTGGGTGGGTGAAAGGCTCATTTGCAAGAGCGGGTGATCGATGCTTCGGGTGGAGTGGAGGGCAGGTGTGTGTGGGTGTGTAGAGTGTAAGAGGCAGGTGCGTGAGCCATCTACGGTAGACGAATGATCGGTGAATGTTCGGTGTGCGTGTGATTCGTGCAGTGGAAGGGTGGGTGGGTGAAAGGTTCATTTGCAAGAGCGGGTGATCTGTGCTTTAGGTGGAGTGGAAGGAAGATATGTGGGTGTGTAGGGTGTAAAAGGCAGGTGCGTGAGTGATCTACGGTAGACGAATGGTTGGTGAACGGTCGGTGTGCGTGTGTTTCGTGCAGGGAAGGGTGGAAGGTTAATTTGCAAGGGTGGGTGATCCGTGCTTTGAGTGGTGTGGAGGGGAGGGAACACGTGTGTGTGTGTAGAGTGTAAAAGGCAGGTGCGTGAGCGATCTACGGTTCACGTGTGTGGGGCGGGTGGGTGAAAGGTTGGCTTGCCTGCTTCTCGACGGGCGGGAAGCGCAGGTTGTGCAGGCGCGCCCAGTTCTCCGCCAGCAGCACCTGCTCGAAGGGCGACGCGTCGTCCGAGGGCCGGCCCGAGAAGTCGAAGGCGATGTACACGTCGACGCCGCGCTGCGGCCGCAGCAGCGGCGGGAAGGGCAGGTTGAGCGCCAGCCCGGCGTCCACCACGAACCAGCGCTTGCTGCGCGGGTCCGACTGCGTGTACATGCCCTTCATCGGCTCCGCTGCAACGCGCCACACGCGCACCCCGTGCCGTCAGCGCCACTGCGCGCAATTTCCTGTTCTACCGGGAGCCACAAGTCCACGAGTGGGCGCCTAAGCTTCTCGCCTTTATCCGCACCCCCCGTCAGCGGACAACTACGCCGACAGGCTGGTATACGAATCCGGTTTGCCCTCAAGGCAACCTCCCATTCAATGCCTGGGAGGTGTTGTCCTACCAACTCAGAGCTACTAGCTTTCCAGGTCAGTACCGTAGACGAATCAACGCGAAACCTACAAGTCCCTCCTCTTTCCCTAAAGTATCGACCCACTGCCACGAAGAAGCCCAGAGCACAACAGAGGGCCATCCGAGCTAAGGTTCAAACGGCTTGGGGCTCACGTCCCGTCTCCTTACTGCCTACACCTTTAGCCTATTGACGTGAGTACCTTGGCAACCTGACAGTGGAGTTTGTGGTCCCAGTCGTCGGAGCTTAGCATCGCCTTGAAGCTATCGACGTGAGTGTCGCAACTCAGGGTCCGGGTGGTTGTCTATAATTCTCCACCAGAAATCGCGTCCACTTACGCACACGCGATTCCCCCGTGCGGGGAGCATCAGGGACAGCAATGATCCCAAATGGAAGCGTAGGCTTCGCAGCCGGAAGCATCGGAAGCACATAAAGCTTCCGAACCCGCGCCCGAGATCCTGGCGCAAAGCTCTGTGCGGAGCTTCTGTCGGTGGATTATGTAATCCTACGTACTATATTCGCGTAACCTGTGTTTGCTGGTGTCTTCCTTTACTCATGGTTCGACCGCCCCCGGTGTACTGATCGTGATAATTAAAATGTCATTTGACTCAGTCTACTGGTGAGGTACTAATTTGTGTCGGATCTTTCCGAAATATTCTAAGAGAATTCTCAATCACTGTGCTCGGGGTATATGTATTTAAAACGCGTTTTGAAGGGCTTCATGGCATCTACAGAGGTGATCAATAGCTCGTTTGATTCCTCTCGGCAAGACGTTCGATTGATACAAGTTTGCCAGAAACTTCTGTAATATTCTGATATGATATGTATTTCGATATGCTGATATGTACTATACTACATTTCCGGTAAAACTTCGGATACTATTTCATGCAAATTTCGTTGCTCGAGGATGGGCCGGCCAAGTAAATGTATTATGTTTATTTTTTTAATAAACATACATAATACAAATAAAAATTCTGAACATAAAAATATCCGACAAAGAAGTCACGCTACGCTATAGTAGATAATGATTTTACTTCTGGCTGCGAAATGACATTTATGTTGACGTTAACAGCACTGTTAATATCTTATATTTCTTACAAGTTAAGTGGAAGGGAGTGATGTTCGAGTAAGAAATGTGCAACTGTGTGGATTTCTGATGTGTAATGAACACACTCACGGGTGTGCTGAGACCGTCGTGAAACAGTTTTATCACAAATTGCAGCAACTTTACACGTCAAAGTGCCAATTCAAAATGCTTTTTAAAAAAACCTAAAGTAAAAAATGTTCAAAAACAACAAGAATTCTCAAATAAGATAGTCATTTCAAATGCTAATATTCTTATTGACATCACTTATTGAAGAATTGTTATAAAAATCTATTTCATTCTTATTGTATTATTGTTAAATACCATAAACCAAACGAGGACACTGTAAGGTAGAGAAAGTATTGATTGGGGCTTTCTTGACAATCGAATGAAATTCATTAATGAAATTGTGCTGCAACTATTGGACTATCCCAGAGAAATTTGAGTACGAAAAATCGAAGTTATTTGCATGCTGTTCTCATCCATCAAACAATACAATTCCATCAAATTATTATTAGATTGTCCTTGCAACAAATGGTTCCGGAAATAACCGAAATACGTTGTATTCAAATTACCAGAAAAGAGAATTGTTAAGCGTCATTCGATTTAGATTTCAAATGTCGTCGGCATGGTCTAGGAAAACTTCCGGGGGCAAAACCCCCCCAACAAAATCAAATTTGTAAATTTTCAGGGAAAGCGGATTTTGGAAATTTGGCCCAACAGATAAAGTTAACATTTATCATCTGTTGATATACAATCAAATATATTTCATCTTTATGCAATTATTTATTTATTCTACATATCTAAACAGGTTGAACTTTTCATTGCTCGTCTAGAAGACTAATTTTACAGAGAAATTTTATCATTTGGACTTTCTTATAGCGTTTTTGGAAATTTATTAATCTATCAGTCAATAACATTTAATAATATTTATTGTAACTAATTATTGATTTCACTCGACATATCGTGTAGGAGAAGTTAAACTAAACGCTTTCATTGACTAGCATCGTGCCCTGGATGGGTAGACGCAACCCGCTCTTCCCTGATGTGAGCATATTGCATTTCAAAGACACGTTAAGAGTTCAGTGTTATTTCTTATACTAATTTAATCCTAAATAATTGCTCTACATTCTCTATTACGTATCAATCATTCGCACTTAGCTTGTTCATGGCCACAATATTACTGCACTACATATGGTTGACCAACACAGAACTTCAACACCAGTCTAAGACAATCAATTGTTGTACTTAAGCGATTTTCTCAGATATCTGTCTCTACGCGTCTCTCGAGTCCAGTGGCGAGCTGCGCAACGACTATCGCCTTCTGACGATCAGATAGCATAAGCGTAGCAACACCATTTTAATTTCAAACCTGGGACGAATTGCGCAGCACATCACCACACTTTGATCTACCATGTGTCATTTCGTTGTCAGAGCTGAAATGTAGATCGAAGACAGCTATCATAGGGAAGCTTCATACAACACTTACGGTCCGTTCAAATCTCCAGTCTGCATGACAACTCCCCATCCTTACAGCGTGACTAACGGACTCTCTGCTTTCATTGGTGTATACTCGCGAGCCCGAGAAAAATTCTAGATCTCAACCATGGACATTTGCAATGTGTTTCTTGCATCCCCTGCATACGAGCGGTGCCGTTAAACGCCGTCTTACAAGCTAGTACTTCATTGCTCAATTACATGCTACCATCCGTACTACTCCGCTATTTCAATATAGTGCATTCAAAGGTACGAGGTGGAAACGAGCGGCAACTTTCCTCATCCGATCGAGAGCTCCATACCAAAAATTTATGTCGTACCGAAGCTTCAATTTAATTGACACACCCCTTTCCGTCATTTCCTCACATTGACGTGCACCTCTAGTAAAAACGGGTCGTAGGCTGACGACACAGCAACGTCTCGTTGCATGCCGATATGTAATCGCGCTTCGGTTTAACACCGCTCCTTAAGGCTCGCATCACCCATGCGCATCGTTTCCGTATTCGCTTCTTCGCACGCGTGCAGGACACCATGAGGAGCGAACATTCGCGACACCTCAGCTGTTCGATTGGGTCCGTGTCTCGCTGCCTCGAGCCGCAATTGCCGACGTGCGAGTTACACCGGTTTGTTTTGGTTGCGAAACTCTCATTTTTCACAGTGACATCGATCAAGCTCACTCGATTCGCTATATCTAACTGTGCTTAAGGCGCTCCACACATGCAGCATCGGCCGAATCCGAGCAACGCTCGCCGAATAGCGAGTAATGTGCGACGGGCTTTCTTGCAATTCGCCGCACTTGCCGCAACACTTCCGCCGAACGCATACCACCGACCCAGCGCGTCCGTCCGGTCTTCGAACCACACTCAAGGAGCACCATGCGCGAACAACTCATGTCGTTCTGGACTGGGCGAGCACGTCATCACGCTCGCTCGCGCGACTGCCGAATGTCCGGCAGCGCCTTCTACGACACGTTATCCTTTGGCAAAATATCTACTTCTTTCACAGTGTGCGAATGAATCCAAGCCATATCCCGATTTCGCTTACATAACCACTGCCGTCTAAAGCGCTTCCACAATACGGCATTCGGTGAACTCCGACGCACCACTCGCCGATAGCCGCAGTATGTGGCGGCTTTCCTTGCATTCGCCGATTCCAAACAATTCGCCGACATCCGCAACGAACCCACGCGCGTGTCCGCTCTTTGAGACACATCAGAGAGCGAACCACTTCGGCGAAAATCATCTGTTCTGCGACTTGGGCGAGCAGTATCCGCCTGCTCGCGCGATGCCCGAATGTGCCGAGCCCTTCGTGACGCCTCTAGTCTCTTGGCAAAATAGATTTCTTCACCAGTGCGATGCCTCTCAGCATTCATTGATTCGCTGATTCAACGGTAACTTACAGCGCTCCACACGGCGATATTCGAGAATCCGAGCAACGCTCGCGTTACCATAGTGGCGGATTGCTGGCGTTCGCCCGAGAGACGAACATCGTCATCTCGCCCTCGACCGCGTGATAGACCTCAAGAGCGAACATTCGCGAGCCATCACCTGCTCGCGGATTAGCATGAGCAGTAGCCTCGTCGCTCGCGCATGTGGAAATTGTGCGGCCGCCTCTTCGCGTTACCTCCGTCTACTTGTTTTCAGACCTGAACATCTCTCTCGCTTTCAATTTGTAGCGAATGACCTCAAGATCACTCGTTGCGTCACCTTAACTGTGCCTTAAGCCGACTCCCACACATTGCGCATCGGCCGCCTCCCAAGCAACGGCACAATAGCGATAGCGACGTCCGGCGATAGCGAATATACGACGGTTACTTGAGCATTCGCCGAGCGCCAGACATCCTCGCCGAACAATCATGACCAGGCGTGATCAGCTCTTCTCGAGACCCTCGGGAGCGAACATCTCGACGAACAATGGTGAACACTGGCTGAAAGCCTCGTCGGAATCGGCGCGGTAACCTCGCGACGCCGAAATGTGCGAGCCCGCCTGTCTAGGAACATCCAAAGGACACATTCGGCGAACGCGTCAGTTTCAGGGGTTGAGCGTCTCAAATCGCGAAAGCCGAATGTGCGTCAGCCCCCTCTTGCCGCCGGGGGCGCTGCCGGGCCGCCTGCGGGCACGCACCTGTCCTCGCGGTATCCGCTGTCGCTCGCGCCGGGCAAGCTGGCCGCGCAGCACGAGGC